GTGATCAAAACAATTGATCATAAAATCACAAAAGATCACAACATCTCCCTATTTGCCGATGATGTGCTTCTGTCCCTGATGAAACCCTTAATTGCTATTCCAGAGGTTTTTCTAAGTAATTGAAATATTTGGAAAAACTTCAAACTATAAAATAAATATAAAGAAAACAAATTTTGGTCTTCAACATATCTGAGGTAGAACTATCCACTCTTAAATCTAAATTTCAGTTCAATTGGAACTTGGATTATATTGAATATTTAGGAATTACATTATTTTTTAATATTCAGGATATTATACACAACAACTACAGGGATATTTATACCTCAATTGATAAGCAATTGAATAAGTGGAGTAAAATTGAGATCTCATGGTTGGGACGTTTAAATATAGTCAATGCCTATTCAATTCCGAAGTTGTTATATATTTAGTTCTTAACCTTTTAGACTAGGAAGGATAGGATTTCACAATTCCCAAAATATTTTCAAACTTTATATAGGCAAATAAATGACCAATAATATCTCAGAAGATCCTACAAAACAATTATGTTAAAGTTGATATTTCCCTTCTGGGTATCGCAAAGTTACATCAAACGTGCCTAATCGTGAATGTAATGATATGGAACAAACAAAATATAAAAAAATATTTAGAAATGCCTGGTTCCAGATAGAGCAAGAATACTATCCTTATGTCAATTTAAATACTGTATTCTGGTCAATTAACTTTGACGTAAGGAAACAAAAATGTTTTAAATACTTTGATTACACATATGCTAGAAGTTTTAAAAACGTAGAAAATTAAACTTAACCTTTCAGAATCCATTCTTATACAAGCCCTATTTGACTCTGCATTCCAACATGATCGATATGTAGCTTTTCAATTGGAGATTACAAGGGATAAATAATCATGCAGATCTTTTTGATAATAAAAAAATGTATTAGTTTCCCGGGTTTACAAGATAAATATAATATACCCTATAGTAGAACTTTTCGTTACCTAAGGATTAAACATTTTCTAAACTCAAAACAGGTTATATTCGAACACCCCATCTTTGATTATTTAGATAGAGTAGGTACAAAAGGCTTAATAACCCGATCTTCTAAACTTATACAAGGGGAGGAAGATGCGGAAAAAAAAAATACTACCAATGGGGGTGGGGCCTGACCGCCATGCTGAATGGTCGCATGGCCCTGAAGGTCCAACTAATTTTACCTCCAACCGATCAAAAGAATGGGCATGCCACCGAAAATTGGGAGGAATAGCCCACAAAAGCGTGCAGATAGGGAGTTTCGGGGCCCCAGAGATACGAGACTTCGGAGCCTGCGGCCTACCCGGGGAAGACGCAGGGCAGACGGCCACTGCCCTACTCAAAAGCCTGGTCGCCATGCCACATCAACTGCGGCGTGACTCACAAGCCCCGGTCCCGTCCCCAGACCAACCCCGTTCACAGCAACATCGGGCTGGAGAGGGGTGAGCCACAAGACGCAGCAAGCCTACCGCATAAGCAGCTCAGCAACACCATGCAGAAGACATCATGATCCCTCCGGTGAGAACTCAGTGGAGCCTAACACTTAGCATTTCTGATTACATCCTAATGCTCGGTCTGACTCATGAACGATTCCACACAGAATCAACAGCGACACCTCACCTGTCTCTGCCGACACATTCCTACATAAGCAAGCATTCATCACTCCAGCTAAGGACTGTCCTCACCCTGCTCTCTCTTGGTCAGCCAGACATACAGTATACATTTTGCATAGAGAAGTGCAGGGGTGAGGGGACTATCACTTACAAGCAGTGTTATGGCACAAGCGGTAGCTCGGCAGACAATTGATCCTGACTGTTTAGCATAAATAATGCCATCTATGCAGCATAAGCCTCCTGTCTTTATCTTCTATGACCTGCTATCACTCCTCTCATAAATAACACTGTCTTTCTTCGGTGTAGGTCTAGATTTTCGGCAGCGCTATACTTTGCTTATCAGATCAGTGCTAAATAGGACTTTCATGTGTTCTCTTTATTTTATTTTTTTCACACTAAGTTTAGGCTTATCTGGCAGACCTCAGCGGCAACATCTCTCTGAATGCCATCTGCAGAGTGTACCTACTGTTAACTAACTCTAGCTTCACTTAGCTTGTAATCTACCTTGCTTAACCCCTTAAGGACACATGACTGAAATATTCCGTCATGATTCCCTTTTATTCCAGAAGTTGTGTATTTAAGGGGTTAACAAAAAAAAAAAAAAAAAAATGTGCAGAATACTCAAATGCCTTGTAACTTGTAAATGTCTAACTGCCTGATCAGTGCTGTTGGGGCATTGAAAGATGCTATGTAAAACATGTGCACACAAAAATAAAGAATTATAAAAATAAAAATAAAAAAAAAATACTACCAACAGTGAAATGAAAAAAGGATCTTAATATATACCATACCACCGTTCAATTAAAACAAACAAAAAATACATTCATTGTATAGCTTTACTAGAACTACACTTAAAGATCTTGTATAGATGGTACTTGGTTCCTTCTAAACTACATAAAATGTATGAAGCTTATTCACCTATACGCTGGAGATGCCATAAAGAGACTGGTATGATATTTCAAATTTGGTTTACCTAGGAGATATTAAATAATATTATTAAGATGCGTATATCTTCTCTGATTTTAGACTTAACTCAAGAGATAATTCCCACACATTAGCTGTTTTTTTTAATTTAGATTTTCCATTAGGGATCGACCGATATTGATTTTTCAGAGCCGATACCGATACCGATATTCTGTGAACTTTCAGGCCGATAGCCGATATAATTTGCCGATATTCTGTACATTTACCATTTTGGAAAATAAAAACTATTTCTAAAGGTAAATACACAAAATATACATGCCACGTGTAGTGGATGCAGTGTGACAGGGGAGCTGTGTGTGTTTGTGTAGTGTGTGTGTAGTGGATGCAGTGTGTGTTTGTGTAGTGTGTGTGTGTTATGGATGCAGTGTGTGTTTGTGTAGTGTGTGTGGAGGATGCAATGTGTGTTTGTGTAGTGGATGCAGTGTGTATTTGTCTAGTGTGTGTAGTGGATGCAGTGTGTATTTGTCTAGTGTGTGTAGTGGATGCAGTGTGTATTAGTGTAGTGTGTATATAATGAAAGCAGAGTGTTTGTGTAGTGTGTGGGTAGTGTGCGTAAAGTGAATGCTGTATATACTAAATGCAAAGTGTGTGTGTATATAATGAATGCAGACTGTGTGTGTATTGTGTAGTGTGTGTATAGTGAATGTAGTGTGTTTATATAATGCAGAGTGTGTGTGTTTGTATAGTGTGTGTATATAATGCAGTGTGTTTGTGTAGTGTGCATTATATAAACACACTACACAAACACACTGCATTATATACACACACTACACAAACACTGCATTATATAAACACACTACACAAACACACACACTGCATTATATACACACACTACATAAACACACTACACAAACACACTGCATTATATACCCACACTACACAAACACACACTGCATTATATACACACACTATACAAACACACTGCATTATATACCCACACTACACAAACACACACTGCATTATATACACACACTGTACAAACACACACTGCATTATATACACAGTGTGTTTGTGTAGTGTGTGTATATAATGCAGTGTGTTTGTGTAGTATGGGTATATAATGCAGTGTGTTTGTGTGCATTGTATACAAACACACACACTATACAAACACACACTGCATTATATACACAGTGTGTTTGTGTAGTGTATGTGTATATAATGCAGTGTGTGAGGGGGCATTTTTTATTAAATTATTTAAAAAAAAATTATATTTACTTTATTATTTATTTTTGTTGTCCCCCCTCCCTGCTTGTTACCTGGCCAGGGAGGGGGGATATGACAGTCCCTGGTGGTCCAGTGGTATTGGCTGAGCTTTGGGGGGGCGGAGAGCAAGCGCTTACTCACCTCCCAGCAGCTCCTCCAGCTCCCCAGTGCAACTCTCGCGGCCAGCGTGTCGCGCGGAGCGTTGCCATGGTGATCCATGGCAACGCTCTGACGGCCGCGGGTCTCGCGAGAGTTGCACTGGGGAGCTGGAGGAGCTGCTGGGAGGTGAGTAAGCGCTTGCTCTCCGCCCCCCCAGGACCGCCGGGCTTGTAATGAGCCTGGCGGTCCTAGGAGGTATTATCGGCAATATCGGTATCTGAATTGGCCGATACCTATATTGCCGAGAATACCGAATATCGGCCGATTATATCGGTAAAACCGATAATCGGTCGATCCCTATTTTCCATTAATGGAGAAAAAAAAAATTCAATATTTAATTACACATATTCTTTATGCTTTGAAGATTACTATAGCTCGTCACTGGAAATCGACTGATCCTCCATTATAGCAAGACATTTTAAACCAAACAGAATATTAGTATATATTGGAATGTAACTTTACTACATTAGATAAATCCATTTCATATCAAGAGTAATGGCAACCCTGGATAGTATATAGGGAAAAAAACCTATTTTAAATTAAGGATGGCTTAGTGGTTTAAGATAATTATTTTCATGATCTCCTAATTAAACAAAAGTTCACTTGGATATACTGAAATGGTCGCACCCTGCCGCTGAGCCCCAGGGTTTGCAGTCCTCAATTTTGTACGTCCACATTTTTTTTTTTTTTCCTGTTTGAAATTAGTACACTGCCGTAAATTCGACTTATCACTGAACTAGTTCTATATGAATTTACTATGTCAATATGTAATGAAATACTGGATCTATTTGTATTGGTTTCTTCTGTTTTTGGCAATGTTGATAACAAAATAAAAATGGAAATAAAAAGAGATGTGCTTATGTGTCACTGTGTGCATCTGAGTTTGTGTATCTGTGTATCAAGGTGTGCTACTATGTGTGTGTGTATCTGTGTGTCAGATACACACTCACTGGCACATACAAACACAGTTACACACACCTTGACATAAACCAGCACATACAAACACAGATACACAGTGTCAGGGTGTGTGTATCTGTGTGTCAGTGTGTGCCACTATGAGCGTGTGTGTGTATCTGTGTCAGATTCATTCACACTGACACACAGATACACACCTTGACACACAGATAGATACACACACACTGTGTGTATCTGTGTGCCACTATGTGTGTGTGTGTGTGTGTGTGTGCGTATCCGGGTGTGGGTATCCGGGTGTCTGTATGTGCCAGTGTGTGTATGTTATACCCGGATACACACACACTGTGTGTATCTGTGTGCCAGTGTGTGTGTGTGTATCCAGGTGTCAGATACACACACAGTGTGTGTGTGTGTGTGTGTGTGTCAAGGTGTGTATGTGCCAGTGTGTATCTGTGTGTATGAATCTGACACACAGATACACACTGGTACATACAAACACAGATTTAAAAAAAACACATTTCAAATTGCCAATCAACACATTAAATACCAAGGTGTATGGTTGACCGCAGACCCTACTCACTTATACCAGCAAAATTACATCCCACTGTTCAAAACACTGATCGACGACATGGAAAAGTGGGTTGACAGACCGATCTCGTGGATTGGCAGGGTTCACTCAGTGAAACTGAATGTCCTACCACGAATATTATTTTCATTCCAATTACTAAATCTAATTTGGCCACCCCTTCACAAACAATTGGAGCCTTCATTTGGAACAATAAAAAGTCAGAATGTCTCACAATATTCTTTATCTCGCTAAGACGGCGGATGGCCTCGATCTTCCAAATCTGTTCTACTACTATTTGGCAGCCCAATTGGCTCCAGTAACATTGTGGCATACTCAACCAGACGAAAGAAGATGTGTAGGCCTTCAATCTCTGTTGATGGGTGCGGACCTTCCGCAGTTCTATATGTGGATTCCCAAGGAGCACAGAGCTCTTATACACACACCGACTGCCTGGCTGTTTTTAATTCCCTCCAGGTCTGGGATAGCAATGCGCTGAAATATGGACTGGCCTCTTCCATTTTCCCAATGATACCATTTCTTAGAAATAGGGCGTTTTCACCATATGTGAGGACTCATGATTTCAAAGGCAGAGAATATATACGGGGCTGCAACAGGTCTATGGTAACCTTTGACAAATCTAAAAAAGCAGAGCACCCCAATAACCCGCAGATTTTTTTGGTATCTCCATATTAGGGACTATGCTCAGCAACCCTGTACACAGCTTACATTCTTTGAGAAGATGTGCCTCAGAATGTTCTTTTTATAAAAGGATCTGATCACTTCCATTTACGCTTACTTGAGCTCCAACACAACAGAATGGATTGCATTACACAGAGCAATGGGAGGCAGATCTAGGTGAGACGCTATAGGATTAGAGTGGCAGGAGATCTGGGAAGCATGTTAAACATTGTCTATTTGCGTTACTTTTCAGGAGCAGTCTTAGAAGACCATGCTCAGTTGGTATACTACTACTGTAAGAATATCGAATGAACCACTCCCAAAGATCTGTGTTGGCATGGGTGTGGTCAGAGGTACATACATTTATGTGTGATGGAAGTGCCCAGGGGTGCAAACTTATTGGGAAAGTTTTTAATAGAAGAATCGGATCGAACCCATGGGGACTCTTATTAGCCAGGTCCCAATATGACTGGACAAAAACAGAAAAACATCTGCAGAAGTTGACCCTAGTGGCCAGATCAGCCTTGGCTCAATTCTGGCTAAAACCAGAGACCCCCACCAATAGATGCAGTAATTCAATAAATTAAAGATGCCTACCTCATGGACAAGCTGACAGCACAAGTCAGAGGCACATCAAAAGAAGGGGGGGGGGAGTAGGGGCAGAGGCTGTGGGGTCAGGCCACTGCATCTTCAGTTGCCCGAGCTCCTCCGTTTTGCTGACTAATTGCCTCCATTGCTCCTCCTTGTGGCAACACTCCCTGTAGTAATTGGAGAATATGCCCCCTTTTCTGGATCAAGCGGATCACTTGCTCCTCTTTCCCCCTGCCCACTCTACACTTGCAGAATTACTCAAGACTCTTCTCCATTTATTCTCTTTTCTCCGGCTTGTGAGCACAGCGTAAGGAGTCAACATATATCACGCTCGTATTTGTGCTTGAAGCCTATTAATGGACACCTAGTCATGTACAACTTTTAATTCATTTAAGTTTGCTCTTCATCAAGATTTTAACCCCAGTATCTTCTATTTTGTTTGCCTATTCATTTAAAAAACAAAAAACAAAAAACAAAATAGTCTTATAGTGTTAAAAACGGTCACACATTATAGTGCTAACTAGAATGGTCTGCCATCTTGCACTTTTTATTGCTCAAACTCTGTAATATGACCTGCATATTATGTATTATTGTGTGCACCCCACCTATACGGTTACTGCGTTGTTTACTGATAACAGTCTTGGCAAAAATAAAGAATTGGAAAAAATAAAAATAAAAGTAATATCTATTCATACTGAAACAAAACCAAAAAAAAAAAAAGAAAAATACATATTTAAGCATTAATTCCCAGGACACTCAAATTGCTCTGATTTTGGAGGTGGGTGGGTAGATTTTTTTTTTTTTTTGGCAAACCACTTGGTATTGAAGAGGTTCATCTGACTGAAAAAGTTAGAGCAGGGGTTCCCAAAAGGTAGATTGTCAGACGTGATAGAACTAGGACTCCCATGATGTTTTGAATGGCTCTGCATGCCTTTAAAATGACAAAGCATCATGGAAGCTGTAATTCTAAAACATCTAGGGATCTATCTTTTGGGCACCCTTGAGTTAGTGAGTCTGAAGTCCCCTGGTGCCATCCATCCATTCATTGTTAAACTGTTTTTTATTGTTTAAATATTAGAGTATCCAGAAGCCCTTCCCCACTGCGTTGCTTGTACTAATGACGAAACACTAGTCTGTTTAGCAATTGGTGGCTGTGATTGACAGTCAGAAGGATGTAACATCTGTCTTAGCCATACCTTAACTAGGGGTCAGGGACCCTTATTTAGTGCTAAATTGCTTGAAAATGGAACAGACTACAGGCACTATAACCAATCCAATGAGATGAAGGAGTTCCAGTACCTTCAGTGTCCAATTAAGTATGTGGTTTATTTTTTTCCTAAGCTTGCAATCAAATTTGATTCCCACCCTGCACACAATAAATACTAGAAGTCAATAGAGCTTAACAGATGCATGGCTAACTAAAGCTAAAAAAAGCCCTTTTAGTACTCAGGGGTGCCCAAAATGTAGATCACAGATGTTTGATCTACAATTTATTTAAATTTTTGAGTTGGGTGTTGGGTTTTCCATGGGTGGAAGTGGGAATTGGATGTGAGAGTGTGTATAAGGCAGGAAGGCAAATTAGATTAACCCATTACGGACATCGCTTAAATTAATCCCCCTATGATAGCATTCTATTACATGGCAGAGGAAGCGTACACTATTCTGGCAGGCACGCATAGTGACACTCTCACAGGCAGTTACACTATGAAAGTGTCTGGCATTGAGCTCCTAAATAAGTCCTCCAGTGATGCCCAGCCATCATCTACAAAAAGTTAGATAAAACCATACCAAACTCCTGTCTAACAAATTTTTGCCAGACGATTTCCCAGACCAAAACATTTGTATTGATGAATCGTGTGATTACAGGTAGACAGCTTTTTAATAAATATATCCCAATGAAGCATCAAATTCCATACAATTATGTAAATCCACTACTGGCTATACATTGGCGTTTCAGATTTATCAGGATAAGAATAGCAATCTTAAAGATTGAGAATGACCTCATTCTATGGGCACATATGGCAAGATTTTGTGGAATCCGATCCTCTTCTTATTAAATAATGGTCATCATCTATGGGTTGACAATTCTAATAGTATTGATTTATATAAAATGTAATTATTTTTATATTGAAACTTTTCGCAGATATTTCATTTACTCAATCCCCAATGACTTTGTAGCAAGTCCTTTTCTTGCCGAATCACCTCTACGACCTGTAAAAAGTAACACCAGTAGATGTTTTGTGTTTGCTATAAGAAAGGAGTGCAATAAGACTCAAGTTATTATTGACTTTCCTGCCCATCACTACCAGTCCTCTGCATAACAGATTATTTCAGAGTTTACCATACAAGACTGAACTACTGAAGCAAATTGTATAGGATTTTGTCCGTTTGATTATGCTGGATTTTTGACCACGGCTTGTCCTGATTACTCTTTCTAGAGGCAGTTTCTCTAAAACGGCAATGATTTACATTGCAGGACTAAGTGGAATAGGGACAGTGCACGCATACCACTTCAATGAGAAAAAGTTATCTGGGTACCTACAGTGTCCCTTTAAACCTCTTTTCAGTCAGGCTGCACAGGTGTGATTTATGGGTGACAGGGAGAGCCCCAGGTTTTGGCAAATGATCCAAAACTTTGGCATAATAAACAGGGATATCACCTAAACACTCATAAAACAATAACTTTTTTAATAAATAGTAATGTTTATTCTACCACTTAAAAGCATTATGAGAGCACCTGTTTAAGTCCATTAGATGTTGTACAGAGTCCAGGTTATTTTACATTTATTTAGGAAAACATCACAGAATGGGGACGGTGGACGATAATACAGTTGCAGAGATTTTTGTAAACAGCTTCAGATAGAAGGAAAAAGAAGGGACACAGAGACAGGAATTCAATTGCACATGGTTATTAAGTCCCTTTTAAAAGAATTTTTAAAACATAGTGTGGAGCAATAAACTTTAATTATACTTTAGCCCAACCTGCTATTAACCCTATTTACACGGATGAATCCCTTCTGCAAGTGTGTGCAGATGTAATACTGCAATACAAAAAGGGCAGCAAGGGTGCTGAATTGGAATTTACAGCGGTAAACATAAAAAGCTCAGAACACACAGAAATCAGGAATGGGGAGGAGACTGAATAGGAGTACTCCCCATAAAACAAAAGATATTCATGAAAAATAAAAATTATTTGAAAAAAGTTAAACTATAAATAAATTATACTTGTATAACTATAAAAAGTATATTGTTATTAAAAAATTTAAGTATCACACAATTTTTATCTTTATTGAAAGCATTTATCAGCTGTTAACCCCTTAACGACGCTGGACGGAAATTTTCCGTCAAGGCAGACCTACCCTTAAGGAC